TGAAATTGCTTAAGCCTGCTTCACCTGACTTCTGTACTGTCACTGCAAAGACCTCAGACTGTGGTGCCACTTCCAGGCTTTTCTGTTCTCTGCCTGTAGCCCACAATATAATAGTCTCCAGAGGACTGATTGATTTTTTTTAACTCTAACCCAATTATATAATACAGACAATGGTGAAATTTAACAGTCTGCAGCAGACACTATCTTATGTTCTCTCCTGGCTTTAAATTCCAGGAAGCTTCAGGGTCATTAATTTTTCTTTTAAACAAGGAATGAGTAATGATAAAGATGGATAATGAATAAGCAAAGCTCACAGGAGACAATAAATAAACAGTGTGTTGACCATGCCAGGCAGTTACTGGACACTCTGTGTTTCTGCCCCAATGCTATGGTGAAAAAGAAGGTCTCAAGGTCTGAGTCACTCATCCCACTCAGGGCACTGCACTTAATATGTGCTCCTGGCTTTTGAATTGCCAGGCAGCATCTCTAAGTGGGGATATTTCTGTTTCCCAATACTTCCTAATACACTTTATTTTTTGAGTGTCACTTTGAACATCCTTTAAACAATGCCCTGAAATGCAAAAATCAGAGGCAAGAATATCTTATTCTGTCTGCTGTTTCTTCCCTGCTTCCCTTCTGATAATCTTTCCAGCAAGGGAGAATCAGGGAGCAACAGCACTGAAGGCAGAGCCATCAGTTTGTGCTCACCAGTGTTGTGACTGACCCACCAGGGCTACCTCTGCTCTCTCACAGAGAAGGTCACTCTTTGCAAGTCAAGGTAACTTTATAAAGTTTTGGCAATCTTACCAGGCACTTTACAAGGACTTGTCTGTTTCTCCAAGTCTCTGTCTTCATTTCTGGATTCAGGAGAGTGAATAGCTTTGTCCTGCTTCTCCTTGTTTGCAGAGGTGTTTGGAATGGTTATATTTTGCAAGGTTGGCTTTTTAGGCAATGGAGGTTTGCTGCTAAGCTGTTCAGAAGACTTTGCTTTGGGTTTGATCTTTTCATTGAAAGAATCACCAATATTTGTATTGGCTGTTTTTTTCATCTCTGCCTTATCACCTTTTAGAAAGGAAGTCAATCCCTCATTTTCTAAATTAAATTCTGCACTGTATCTTTTAATCCCTTTTGATTCTGGTGACGAGTCGTCTCCGTATTTCAAGGACAGTGAAGTGGATCTAAGTTTCACTTGGAAAGGATTTTTATCTTTACAGCTTGGCTGATTCTGAGATACCACCAAAGTATTGCTTGGCATAGGCACTGCATCACCAACTGGAGAAACACGACCAGCCAAAATTTCTGTAGGTTGGCCTGTGTTCTCAGAGTCAGGCTCTGGCAGCAAACTCTGCTTTTTGTTGCTGCTTTTTTCCTCATCCAGATCTGATCCCTTCTGGAAGTCTTCCTTCCACTTCTCATTTCTTGAGGAGACCTTTGCTTTGGACAGGAAGAATCCAGTATTTAATGGGCTTTCCAACTCTGATCTTTCTGGGAAGTGTAGGCTCCTGGTCCTTGGTCTCTCCCGTGCAGAGGAAACAGAAAACTTTCTGAAGGCATTGAATTCACTGACTGTTTTTTCAGCTTTCTTCCCCAGTAGTTCCTCCTTGTGGTCCAGGGACTGACTGTTCTCCTTCCCAGAAGCAGCTGCCTCTTTTGCAGTCTTTATTTTCTCTAGAGAGCAGAAAGTAGGTGATCCCACTTGCACTGAGGAAGTAGGATGTGAGACATGGAAGGAGTCTGTGAGCTGGGAAGAACCCATGAAAAACTGCTTGCTGGACTCTGACAATAGAGTAACCTCCTTCTTTGCCTCTTTATTACAGGGCATTTCCACAGGTATCTGCTCATCCTTCTGTATATTTTCTTCTGACCTTCCCAAGCAAACAATACTACTCTTACAAATTGAAATATTTTCTTCAGATGGGGTTTTGTTTACTGAAAACACAGTAGGAAGCTCCTTATTTTCTTGATTGAAAGGATTGATTGACACATCACTCACATGCCCAGACAACAGAAGTAGTGTTTCTGAGGAGTGTCTGTCTGGACTGGAGTGGGAAGCAGTTGTGGACTCCTTGCCTTCTATCAACAGTGAGGACTCAGCCTCCTCACAGGTTGTTTCCAGTGCTGGTTGGCAGTCTTCTGGCTGCTTCTCTGGTAGCAGAGCTTCCTGTGCAGCAGCAGACTCAGAAGCAGACTGAGTCACCACTGGTCTCAAAGCAGAGGGGAGGTCCTCAGGCATTCTGGGCTTCAGCCAGGAAGCCACATCCTGTGTTGCAGCTGTGCCACATGGTAGTTCTTGATTGCTGGGTTTGAACACAGCATCATCCTCTTCTTCTTCCTCTTCTTCTTCTTCTGGGGTACAGCTCAGATCAGTCAGAGATTCAGACTGGGTCCTCTGCAAGAAAAAATTGAGAAAGCCTCATCACTATGTACAGCTTCACTTTTGTTTTCTTATTCAGCATTACATTTACAACCAAGACCTTAGAGAGGAAGACAATACTTGCCCCCAATCCTGAGCTTACAGTTTTCTTAACCTACAGACTAGATGCTTTTTTTTTATTTAAGCAGATCCTGGAATAATGCACTTAACCAATCTAAAAGCAATGAGTGACACTTCCTTTTGCACAACTAGTGCTTTCATGCCTTTGTAGATGGGAAGTTCATCAGAACAATAGCCATTGGACTGTCCTTGGCAATCAATTCCCCAGAGCATACTGCCTGTGTTGTGTTGCTCTTAGGCAAAAAGCAGCACTTGAAAGAGAAAAAGCTGTCCCTTTGTATTTTGCTGCTCCATACTAGCATTAAAAAGAAAACAACCCATTCTTCCTACAGCATGACTCTGAAGAGGGAAGGGTACATAGAAGGAGGAGCAAAAGCCTAACAAATCCAAGTGGTTCTGACACTCTGTGCCAGCTGAGTATCTGCCCCATGTGGCATCCTCTGTGTGATCCCACTGCCATACAGCATTGCCTCCTCTGTGTAAAAGTCTTCTTTTTCTTTCAAGGCTTAAAACTATTTGATAAAAGTTTATAAATTCATCTGTACTTATCTGTGATTAAACTTCAGGCTAAATGGACAGGATTATGTGAAAGCACAGTTTTAAGCTGCTGAATATGCCTTTTCATGTGGTGCCTCTATTAGCTCCCTGGTTTACTCTAGTTTGGCAGATAAATACATGTTTTTGAATTTAGGTCCTAATTCTAAGAACTCTGAAGATATTTTAGGGTTTTTCCAGCTTCTTGTTTTACCAGTGCAATCACAAAAACAGAGTTGCCTCATGTAAAGGACCATAAAGGCAGAAGACATCAGTTAGCCAAAGCAAGGTGCACAGGCAGTCAGGCTAGAAGGTGTTTAAAACTGTGTTATCAGAACATGTGAACACTCTCTGTGGACAACCAGGAGGGCTCAGTCATCTGGCAGTTTAATAGGCAGCCAGGACAAAGTCATCGTGTTTCAGTGTGCTGGTTTGGGCTGAAGTGGAGTTAACTTTCTTCCCAGTGGTTAGTATGGGGCTATGTTTGGGTTTGTGCAGAGCACAGGGTTGGTAATGCAGAGATGTTTTTGTTATTGCTGAGCAGAGCTCACACAGAGCCAAGGCCTTTGCTGCTTTCTGTACTGCCACACTGGGGAGGGAGTTGGGGGTACATGGGAGATTGGGAGGAGACACAGCTGGGACAGGTGACCCAACCTGACCCAAGGGATATTCCATACCATAGCACATCATGCTCAGGGTATAAGGTGGGAGGCAGAAGGAGGAAGGAGGGACATCTGGAGTGATGAGTTTGTCTTCCCAAGGAACCATTCCATGTGCTGGTCCCTGCTCTCCTGGAGATGCTGAACACCTCCTGCCCGTGGGAAGCAGTGAATGAATTCCTTGTTTTACTTTGCTTGTGTGTGCAGCTTTTGCTTTCTCTATTAAACTGTCTTTGTCTCAACCCCTGAGTTTTCTGGATTTTACCCTACCAATTCTCTCCCCCATCCATTGGTGGGGCAGTGAGTGAGTGGCTGTGTGGGGTTTGGCTGCTGGGGTTAAACCATGATGATGTTAGGATGGAAGAGGAGGTTTGATCAGTGAATTCTTGCCTTTCTCAATAACTGGCCTCATCACTGTGATGCTCACCGTGGTGCTGTACTGAGCTGAAAGGTAACTCACAGATTTTGGGAAATACAGAACCTCAGCTGAGTAATATTTAGAGACAGAGGGAATAATATTTCTGGTAATATGGAAACCAAATTACTGATTTTACTGCATTTAAGACACTGGAAAAGCCCCACAAAGAATAAACCACAAATACTCTAGTAAGACCTGCAAACTTTAGTGCTAGAAAAGAGAAAAGAAAGAAGGAAGAAAAACTAAACTATGCCCTTCATATGACAAAGAATCAGATAAATGGTGTTTAGAAGGATGGTTTAAAACCTGATTTTTTTAATACTATATACTTTTTGATAGTTTTGGGTTTTTTAATAGTGTACACTGTGGGTTTTGGTTGTTAGGACTTTTTTTCCCCCCTGTGGAGACTTAGTTTATGTCTTTGTAGTGCACATAAAGGATTTACAAGTTTTGAGGCAGAGAGATGTTTGAATTTAGAACAGTCCTAATGTACAGAATTTGGCTCCAATTACTCAGACAAAACTTAGTCTTTCGGTACTTTTTGAAAATATAAGCCAAATTATATCTGGGAATTTGAACCAGCTCCTTCATGAGTAGTCTCTCAAAGACTCAAGATTTTACAGGATCTTTCACACATGTTGATCATAACACTTAAAAAAATTTAATAATTCAGAGAATCATAGAACCATCAAGGCTGGAGGAAACCTCTAAGATCATCCAGTCCAATCATTAACCTGTCACTGCTGGAACCACTAAACCCTAAACCAGATCCTCCAGTGTCAGATCCAGACACCTCTGAAACACTTCCAGGGATGGTGACTGCACCACCTCCCTGGGCAATATTCCAGTGCCTGAACACCCTCACAGGGAAAACATTTCTCCTAACATCTAATCTGACTCTGCCCTGTCTCAGTTTATGCCCATTCCCTCTAGTCCTCAAACGAAGCAGTCAGCCCAGGTTCTGCACCATTAACAGGATACTAAATTGTATTGCACAGTGAATTTAGGAATAAATTGTTCCATAAACTGCTGCATCAAGAGTTAACAGGTAAACTCATACTATTTAATCTGTTCCTAGTGCCTACTCCAGATACACAGCCTCATGAGGTAAGAGCTCTCCAAACTCAGTGAAACATCCAAGCCCCAATTGACTTTATCACATCTGAGTTTGAAACAGGAAGTTCAGTAAGAACTTCCTGAGTTTGTGTCAAAGGTGTTTTTTTCACAAGTACCTGAGAAAATCTTCTGATTTTCCTGGACCTCTGCTTCCGTGGTTTTATTAAAAGCTTATGTCTTGCAGCAGAATTATCCAAGAAAGCAGAAAGCTCAGGTGGAGTGTCAAAATTGGCTGTAGGTGAGATGGTACTGTCAGGTGTCTGGGGAGATCCAGATCTGGCACTTCCATGCCTAGGGAATAGCTGACCATCTGTAGAGTGAGATCTAGAAGAAGGACTCAGTGTAACCTGAAAAAAAAAAAAAATCCCCAAATAGAGAATCAGACAAATAACCAAAAGACATGGAAAGAACAATTCTACAAAAATCAGGCCAGGTTCCTTGGCATTTTAAGTTTGCCTCTTTTTCTTTTTGGCATCTCTTTAAAATACATTACATTTCCTAATGTTGCATGTGATGTACTGGTGTTAGCAATTCTGCTTTTTTAGCTGCTTGAATATCATGGTATACACACAAGTACATGGCCAGCATGTTTCAGCAGACAGATTTACAAAGAGTACACAGTAACAGAACCTAAAGGGCCATTCCTCTTCCTAGGTCTGTCCTCCACCATCTGTGTCTAGGCTTCTCCCCACAGTTGTGTTGTGCTGGAGCATCTCCAGCTTCCTATGTGCCATCAGGTCCTTTCCAACTTTACAACACCCTCCTCAAGACAAAAAAAGTCCAACACTAGTGGCATTGACACTTAAGCCAGCTTGTGTTTTTACCTCATGTATTTATACCTGAAAAAATAACTGGAGAGTTTACCTGAAATGCAAAATTTCATTTGTTGACTATTCTGGGGAAGGAAGTGATGGACAATTCCTACTAGAGGCCAATAACCCACCCAGAAACAGCTCCTGAATGCTGCAAGGGATGCAGTACTTTCACAGAACTGGAATCCAGCTTGACTGTGAGCTTCACAAAAAACAAACCTAGTTCCAGGGATGAGATTGGAAAATATAAGAAAAAATGACTCTAAAAAGAGTCCTTTCTCTTAGATTTGATTTTGCAAATAGACAAAATGATATTTCCAAACTATCTGTCACAGCATTAACATAACCTCTGACTGCTCGTGACAGTACTCCCTTTGCAGGCTTGAAATTCCAGTTCATTTCATCAGAGGAGCTTTCCTCCTCTGTCATGCTTTTTTTGTGCTGGCTTTCTTCTTCTCCTTCCTTCTTTTTATCTTCTCTCTTCTTTGTCTGGAAATGGTATTTTACCAAGGGGTTTGGATGGGAGAAGGGGAGAGCAGGCTAGTGTTGGTTTTATTTTGGGAGGGAAAAAGCATCAGCACTTTCTGCAAGTAGAATTCTGCATTATGCACTGCAGCCAAAAGATACCCTGTAGTGTAGTGTGGGCCTTGCTACATCTTCCACAATGGCCAGGGGAAAACTCCCATTGATTTTAGTGGAGGTTGGATCCACAGCTTCTGATCATACTTTCTATTTAAGAAAACAGAAGTAGCTCAGCCATGCTGAATAATGGATGCTCTCATTAATTTTCACTCTACAATATCTGCAGTCTAGTACTCAAACATGACTAATGTACAACAAATGATACGTGGCTGCATTATACATTAGTACCTAACAGTGAATACATTGACATTTCAGCTCCATGGCAAAGATGCAGTACATGTTTCTCTTTCAAGGCACGTCATTATTTTCCTGCCTTTCTTCTGGCTCCTGCCTCTCCTCCAGAACTTTGCCTGTCTTCTCCTTGGCAGTGTTCAGTGTTGGCCATTACGCTGGAAAATCAAAAATCTGGTTTCTTACTTAAATTTCGGCAGCCTGAGTGAATGGCAGCTCTGAGCCAGCTGCACAAGGTGCCCATCCCATGAAGTCTGGCTCTGGAAAAGCCTGTTGGAGGAGAAGGAACCAGCTGGCAAACCCCTTGCTCCAAATCTCCTGTGCACATGGCTCAGTCATCCTTCAGCTGCTTGTGTTGGGTGGCACAAGGTCAGGGCCATTAGGGACCTCCATTCCCAAAGCCCAGATGGAAGAGTTGTGATTCCTTTCTCCTTTCTTCAACCCAGGAAAGCTTCCAAGACCAGCAAGGTGTCACTGCTGCCCAAAACTTCAGGGTGGTGGTGTACAAAATTCTTCAGCCCTGTGAGCTCTGACTTGTAGGGTGAATCTCTCTGGAACACCAGGTAGTACATCCAGTGGGTTGGGAGGAGTCTTCAGCTGGAGATACATTCTGGCTGCACTCTGAAACTGGACTGGGATGAAGAGAGAGCTCTGAGCTGAGTGGTGGGTCATGTGGAAAAAGCTAAGCAGCCACGTAGTCACCATCACATCGCAGAAGTCAGTGAGGGAGTCAGAAAGTGATGTCAATGGAACAACAGGGAGACAAATCCTCCTTTAGCAAACATAATTCTGGACTGGACACAGTTACAGTGAGCCCACACCAGTTTCAAGAAACACCTTATTCATGTCTTCTGTTGTTTTTCTTTAAAAAAATATTACAATTTCACCCCATATAAGCAGTTTTTCAAACAGCTTCATGTGCCATCTAACAAGCATGGCCAGAAATCTTTGCTGAGCACTGCTGCAGCTGGTTTGGAAATGCACTTTGCCTAATTACCAAGGAATAGTCAGCTCAGGACTAGCTTCTCTATTTCCTTTATGCAATTCCCCCCCACGCCCTTCCTCCTATCTCTAGAAAACACTCTTCCCTCTACCCCCTGTGTTGTTTGCACTGTGATTCCAGCTGCAGACAGCTGAAAGGGACTCTTCAGAGCCTTTCAGAGCAGCCCTTTCATCAGGCAGAACTGCTGCTGCTGATTGAGGAAAGCCATGTATTCGCCTGTGCTCAGCCCTGAAAACATCAGCAAAATTCACAGCCAGAATCTGACTGAAGGCTGAACCTCAGACTCCTGAGCAGCAATGTCAGCCACTGTCATCAGGCAAACACTTTCTGTGGCAGTGCAAGGTGTCTGTACTTAGGGCAGATTTCAGAGGATCTGGTTTGTTCACATCTCTTCAATAAACTTTCTCCCTTGTCCTCTGCATGTAACCCAAGCAGCTTTTACTGCAACTCCCCATCTTTAAAAAACATGGGCTACTGTTTCAGTGTCTAAATCTGGTTGGTTGTGCCTGGAGATTAAATCGTGTCTGTAAAGTTTGCTAAAGGATATGAGCTATTGCAGAGACCCTAATTATTATCGATGGGAGATAATCAGGATTATGCTGATAAATAATCATAGCTTTTATGTTAGATGGACAGGCATTAAAAAAGCACAGCAAGCAGACAGGAATGCAATTAATTACATACAAAGGTGTTTTTCTTGCAGCAGACAGGCAACAAAATAATATTTATGTCTTACATTTCTTTTAAAAACTACTATGGGTAATTGCTTGTCCCTTAATACATTTGGCAGAAGTTACCTGTTCTTCTTCTTCACTGCCTGTTCCAGCTAAACTCAAAGAGCTAAGGTGCTTGTGAGAGTCAGAGAACTGTGGGATGGAATGAGGAAGAGATTCAGTAAGAGATGACAAACAAGGTGGATCCAATCACAGAAACCATCGACACAACGTGCACAAAGGTACTGACAACGTAAGTTCTTTCCTTCTAGAGTCTTAAGGATTAGCAAGGACACTGCAAACATAAAGTGTCAGACATGCAGATAAAGGATGAAATAATGTCTAACAAAACTACCATTTAAAAAGAAAAAAAAACAGGTTCCAATTATTTTATGTTTCTTTTTTTCCCAATGACAACCTAGAAAAACATGAGAGAGCTCTCTTATCAACAAATTCAAGGGGGAATACAAATTTTCCAGCCTTTTTTCTTTTATGCCTGGCAGCTCTGTAGTCTCCATAAAAAACACAGCATTCCCATGCACTCACACAAACACATTCTCTCCTTCCTAGTTCTACATTTTCTGGTGTGATATTTATATTTTAACAGGAACAGAGGTTCTAAATAGCTGTTTACACACACACACACACACACACCATTTTCTTATTTTGAGTAAGGTATTTCTAAATTGTTCAAAGATAAAGTAGTGATACATAGAGCAAACTAAACAATTGATTCTGCCTTCCACAGGTAGGTAAATCACATCATTAAACACTGATTTTTGTCAGCACTGAAAGGACTCACTCTTGTTCTTGTGCCTGAATTTAGGTTTTCATGGAGCAAAGACATTTCTGGAGGGCTCCTGGGTAATCCATCATCTTCAGAACTGGTCCCAGCATCCTCTGTTCGCTTTGCACGAAGTCCAAAGGGAGGTGGAGGTCCCAATTTTATGGTAGGCTGCAGTTTCAGCTTCAGCATGGCATAAAATACATTAGCACATGATAGTGATGGAGGTTTCCCCAGAACATTTTTTAACTCGGGTCAATGAGTTACTTTATGTATGTAAGTTATGTAAGTTATTTTAACTTCACAATTGAATGACCCAGAGCACAGGACATCTGACTTTAGACATTCTCTTGGGGAGCCAAAAAACTATCTATTTTTCAACTATCCTTTTAAGTAGAACCAAGATATGATACTACAGTCTAATTAATGAATGCAACATTTAATGTAACCTGCAGACAGATATTCCTTACTCATCAAATATTCAACCAAAATCAAACCTGGAAAGACATTTCATCTCTTGCATTTGAAAAAAATTAGGTTGTATAAATTACCTGTAAAGCTCTAATCCGATCAGAAATGTTTTCTTGAGAAAAGACTCTTACTGGCCTTGCAGGCTCTTGCCCAGTCTCAAGGATGAAAATGCTATCGTGTGACAAAGCTCTGCTTCCCATAATGCCTTTGTGTGTCCTAGAATGAAAACACACAGATTTTTTTTGCCAGTTCTCTTCACTCAGGTGCCCTGTTGAATGTGGAGTGGGACACAGGTGTGCACAGCATACATCACAAACAAGATCCCAGACATCCCCATGAACACAATACTTTGACAGTCATCCAGGCTAATCTAAGTAACACCTTTAAAAGCCAAGCAAAAATTTGCAAGTGCTGTTATCTGTCACATTAACAAGCTGAATCCAGGTTAAAGACAGGTTAACCAATAGCATCTTGGCCTGGATCAAGAACAGTGTGACCAGCAGGACTAGGGCAGTGCTCATCCCCCTGGACTGGGCACTGGGGAGGTCACAGCTCAGTGCTGTGCTCAGTTTTGGGCCCCTCACTGCAAAAAGGACATTGAGGCACTGGAGTGAGTCCAGCCAAGGGCAACAAGGGCTCCTAAAAGGTCTGGAAAACATGTGGGATGAGGACGGGCTGAGGGAATTGGGTTTGTTCAGCCTGGAGACGAGGCTCAGGGGTGACCTCCTGGGGATGTGTGTCCTGCCAGGGCTGCAGGGAGAGGAGAGAGGGAATGGTCATGAGCTGAGACAGGGGAGAGTCAGATTGGATGTGAGGAGAAATGTTTTCCCTGTGAGGGTGTTCAGGCACTGGAATATTGCCCAGGGAGGTGGTGGAGTCACCATCCCTGGAAGTGTTTCAGAGCTGTCTGGCTCTGACACTGGAGGATCTGGTTTAGGGGTTCCAGCAGTACCAGGTTAATGGTTCTTAGAGGTCTTGTCCAACCTTGGTGATTCTATGATTCTGTGAACTAATTTCTTGCTAATCTAAGACTGTGTCTCACAAATGACTGACCATTATCATTGGAAGAATAAATGCCTTTTCCTATCTAAATGTGATACAGCATTTAAGGTATTTGTCATACAGATCATTAGCAAAATTATTTTTGGCAATGTAGTTCTCACACAGAATCATTTGCATCAAGCCTTACAACATGCTTACAAGGTCCTGTGCTCTACAGCAAGATTCCCATCATTTTCTCTTAGAAGCCTATGGGACACACTTTTTCATGGATGATCTGTGGCCTAGTGAGAGGAAGCAAGAGATGCTTTGTAGAGAGTTCCTCTCATATTCTGTTTCCTGCTTTTGATGTATGTAGTGTGCAACTTCTTTAGCAAATGTTACATGTGGGGCATGAACACCTTGTTTCCTTATGGTAATGGCACAGGAGACCCATGGACACCAAGCTAGCTGCTAGGAGGTCTCTTGTGCTCATTTTCCTCAGCCCAACTGAGCAGTGACCAGAAATGCATGTACACAGCATTTTGGTTTAGGACTACCTTCTTTTAAAATGTTTAAATAAGGGAGCTATGGAAGGGCAAACCAGAGTACAGTATACAGAACTGTCTGGGTTCATGTCACTATCAAATTAATTGAGCAGATACTCTTAAAAAAAAAAAAAAGACAACTGTGTATTTTTGGATCTTAGATACTGTCTTAGGGACATTCAGGACAAACATAAACAAACATGGCAGAAAGTAACATTTTCCTCATAATGGCTGCTATAAATATGTTTGATAAAACAATGGCAGGGAAAAAATGAAATGTATTTCTTCTGCCCAAGGGAG